TTTCTAATTTTTAACGATACAATAGCGATGATTATTATTTTTAAAAAAAATTTGATAGGCTTAACATGGAGGAAAATTCAACGTGAAGTAGGTTAATAGCAATATACTAATATACTAATTACATGGGATATAATAATATACTACACTAATGATGGATTTTTTCATACTTTTCGGTTATCTGACTTTTCAATTATCCGACCAACCCCAGTCCCCAATTGAGTCGGATAATCGAAGCTCTACTGTATTTTGAAATGAATAGTATGATAGATATTGCAAAATATAAACAATATTTATTTAAATATAAAAATAAAATAAAATTATACATTTTATAAATAGTTTACTATTATAATATGTTGTCAGCAATGTTTATCTGGAAAATAATACATAAGAATCTACAAATTTAAAATATGGAAAAAATATTGTTCTTAACGGAGCATAAAACAAAAAATTCTTTGGTTTTTCACAATTTTCATTCCTGAAGATGGATGTGAATGCTTGAATTTGGGGGGATTTTATGCTCTATTAAAGCAAATATTTTTAATGCACTAAGAATATTGTGCAGCTTAAAATATAAATATTAAGTGTTTTATTAAAATGCCTCATTACATAATTAAAAACTAAAGAATTATTTTTTTAAACACTGAAAGTTTCATTTGGATAATCTTCAAAATAATAAATTTCAAAATTGTCTTTAAAAAATGCTGTTTAGTTGTTTTTACAATGTTTCCATGTTGTACTAAACTGGAAGTAAGAGTTAATGCAACAAAAATAGATGAATCTGGAGACAAGCATCGAATTCAAACTATATTTTAAATGGTTTAGATTAGAATTAAAATATTTAATATACAAGATTTTTAAAATCAGATCTGAAAGAAATCTATAAAAGTTTGAAAAATTATATTTGCAGAATTCAATATCTTTTAGAATATGATTTGTTGAAATTTTATTTTAAAGTATTAAATAATTATTTAAATGTAATATTGTTATATTAATGAATAATACATTATCATTTAATACTTATGATATTACATATTTGTACACAACAAAGCATTTTCTATAATTGCTTAATAGTAAGTTATAACTGGATAAATTTAACTTTCTATAATTTTAGTATTTAAGTACATCTTTAATATGTGAAACTATGTAAAATAATTTTGTTCATTTATTTATTTACTTTTATTGTAGAATGAACATACGGTGACAATTATAATGGATACAGGCACTGCTGTAACTGCACAACAAAATACTTCTTCAGGTAAGAAAATTGAATTTATAATCATTTTAAAATGCATTAAAACACATTTACTTGTTTGTTTCTCTTGCTAGATTTTAAAGATTCCAAAATTTCAATGTAAAAATATTATATAAGAATTTGAAAAATTTAATAACTTTATAGTAATTATCTTATGCATGTGAAGCCATTTCAAAAATGAGTCTTTGTTAAATGTGTAATATTCAAACAGGACAAAGCAGAAATATTAATGAAAATTCAAATATAAATAAAATCTGAGAATCAATCTAGTATATTAAATACACTAGATTGATACTTACATTACATTAGATTTTGTTAATAATGTATCTGTGTGAATATTTAAACTCAGACGAAAAATTTGTAACAGAACACACAATAAATTGGTTGAAAATGAAAAATAATTTCCAATTTTGAACATTGGTCAAAAGCAGCAAAATGCCATTTGAAAAAACACTGGAATTGGTTTTAACGTATAGTTAATCATGAGTGGTAACAGTTTAAATAAAATTAAATAGATTTATATTATAACTTAATTATTCAAGTGATAATATGAATCTGTAATAATGGCTATAATTAATACTGCTACTCATTCATAAGTCTGAGGTTAAAGTAGTAAAATTATATTGAATGCAAATGTTAAAATAGAAAAGAAATGCTCATGTAATATAATAGAAGAGAAATATGAAATCATATTAAAACTATAAGAGAATATAATAGAATAGAAATATGAAAATATAATAGAAGAGAAATATGAAATCATATTAAAACTATAAGGAGTTGCTTTATTCAAAGATAAAACCATTTGAACTGAGAATGTTTGAGAACACAGTTTTCTATTTTGCCAATCAATATAAATCTTAAACTATCTAATCAATTGACAATCATCTTATTCCAATCGATGAGTATAGTTTCATAAAGTACTTCTCTTACTAATAAATTGTGCTTAAGAATATCTGTACATATAACGAGCAATTATTTATTGTGATATGGTCACAATACCAGGCTGCAATTTTTAATAATATTTTTAATTTATTTAATTTAAAATATAGCTTTTAGTTTTAGTAGTGTCTTGCCCCTGTATATCACACTTTTTCTGTTAACAATAGAGTCATGCAGTCATCTATCTAACTCTGGAGAAAATTTATGAATTGAAATAATGTGACTTTCAGTACAAACTGGAAGTTTGTATATAGTCAGTCGGAGCTTTCCATATCTGATCTCAACTTTCATCTGTCTAATTCTGTTCTCAAGATTAAGGAAGGACAGAAAGATGGCTACTAGTAGAAATTAATAGGTCTGCAGTTTGAAAATTGTAGCCTAATTTCTACTTATTTTATATAAGAACAAAATTAAAAAATTTTTTAGTAATTACATTTTTATTTCAGCAACTTTGCTTGTAGTTTACAAACTGAATTATTAGTCTATTATATTCTCAATATATCAATCCATTTCTAAAAGAAATTTTGGTTTGTGTGTATTCAAATGATTGAAAATGTTATAAATTAATTTGAGATGATACAAATGGAATTGCCAGTGTGAAATGAAATAACTTGCAGATATGTGTACAGCGTGTTGCACAATGTCCACCACAAATTGATATTTTCTCTTTAAAAAATTTGCAAATGGTCATCTGAAAAATTTACATTGTTTCACATTCAGGAATGTAACAATAATACATCAAAATAATTTGTAGAAATTTTAAAAAATTAATTATTTTATTGATTTTTAGGTGTTGCAAACAGATAGATTTAAATGATATATTTTCCATTGTAGAGCACATGTATGTCTCATTTATGCAAATTTGCAATTTTTTGGTACTTGTATCTTTGATGTCACTGAAGATTAATTTGCAATTTCATTTGTTACTTGTGGCAAGTTATAATTTTGTGAACATAAAAGGTCAAATAGACAAATTGTGAAAATTTTGAAACAATCGTGTAACGTTGTAAACAATTTTATATGATTAAAAGATTTTTATGGTGTTANAATTATTCAAGTATTAAGTTACATTGCTAAGAAATAAAAATTCTAATGATCAAAATCAACAAGTATGAGCTTTTCTTTTAAAAAAATTAGATTTTAAACATATACATATATTTTAACTGTAACATTAAAGGGTTAAAGAATGTGTGGAAAAAATCAATGATTTTTTTTTTTCTAGTAATTAGCTGTTATTAATTAAGTTATTAATAACTTTTTTTCTAGTAATTTTCTCTACATTTTATTTATATATTTTTTGATTTCATACAGCATGGTCTTTGGACCATACTGTACTAAATTATTGTATATATAATATCTATTTTATCAAAGAAATTATATTATCCCATCTATACAGGGTGCTTCAAAAAATTTTAACATGTGGAGAAAGTATGCAGTCACTGCAGTGTGAGTCTACTTTTTTAAGAACTCCACAATTGGGTCGTTAATTCCTCATTAGTGTTAACATTTTTTGGAAGCACCATACATATATATATATTTTTTTTTAATTTTGAAAAATAATTGATTCTAAAGGGGATGAAAATTATACCAACTGTATTAGTTATATTCAGACTTTTAGAAGAAAAGAAGTTATTATAATATAAAATCTGCCTAAAAAAAGTAAATCTTGGATCAGAAATGATCTGCTAAGCAAAATTTTATTATAACATGCAATTGGTTTCAAAAAACCAATTGCATAACAGAATGTAAGTAAAGTGGAATTTTTTAGTACAACAGCAACTAAGTTTTAAATCAGTAATGAGTAACCTATTCTGGATGTGCGCCACAAGTGAATTTTGTAGCTTCTGGCAGGCCTTGTGCATTTTACTTTCCTGGCATTTTCCATACATAACAAGGAAAAGTATTGGAATCATTTGACTCTCTGGGATTTTTGCAAATCTGTTTTGAGACCACTTAAACCCAAAAAGTCAAAAAAAGAAGAGAGAATTCTGTGTGTGAGTGTATGTTGACATTAGTTTGTTTAGTATCTCAGGATGTGGAGGTAATGAGTAAGAAATGAAATTTGGCATGGCAGTTTCTGTTTAAGGGACATCAATGCTATTAACTTTTGGTGGTTAAAGATCGAGGGGGTGAGAAGATGCAGGGGAATCATGCATCATATCTTGAATGGGGTTGGACTTAATGAGGATTTTTCTCACTATTAACATTTACAATTTTTTTCATAAAACTCATCTCTACCCTCAGAATTAAGTATTTTGTTGTTTTATAATAATTAATATAAAAGTTATTTTTTAACAAAGTCTAATAACAGATGATGTTGTAGACAATTTTAATTTTCTACTAGTATGTATGCCTTAGTGTTTTTGCCAGGAAAGTTACACAACTCATTGCTGGAGTTTTTCTTTCAGATTTGCAGGCTGAGTACAAAATACAGTAGAGCGTCGATTTTCCGAAAGTCAATCATCCGAAAGAATTCCAGTCGGCAAATTTAAATTTTCGCCAGTGCTGTGGCACTTCAATCTTTGGCTATGTCTTGGGCTACTCAAATATTTTACGTTTTTGATACTAAATTAACATCTGAAGTATAATTTTTTATTGTTTTTATATTTTTCAATATATTCATTTTGTCTGTACAAAATAAAAAAATACTTTTTAACGATACAATAGTTTTTGTTAGGCTTAACATCGACGAAAATTCAACGCGAAGCGACACGCAACGGAGAAAAATTTC